GTATCAATAATAAGCTACTGCCACACATGTTTACCATTTTAAAAGTTAAAACGCTCGCACTATGTACTTTAAGAATTTAAAATCAATTTAATTTTAAACCGTTTTAACACCGTCATATAAACGTAGTAATAAATAATGATTATTGTTTAAATAGTCTGATATTATGCCATATTTTCATAAATAAATTTAAAACTAAATTTAATTCAAATCACCCCAATTTTTAAAACAAAGATAAACATTAAGACAGACCAAAGTATACTATTTATAGGTAACATTTAAATAAATAGGTACTAAAAAAAATATTTATAAAAGTTAACTTAAATGAATTTATAAACACAAAAAATTATATGTATATATTTGTAATAAGTATGTAGGTACATTGAAATTAAAAATAAATATAAGTATAAATAAGGTCAAAAAATATTAAGTAACTTAACATATACATTAATTAATACATCTGTACAGCTTTGGTAATGAACACATAATTGGAATTTAAATTTAGTTATTATACTTTACCAGTCTTTCTTTCATACAAGGATGAAACACATTCTTGTACATAATGTAAGCAGGAAGTTTTTATTAAAAATCCACCCGCAAGTTCTTGAGAACTTTCTCTTCTGATGTATTTCATATACCCTAATGAATCTAATTGTGTAATATCTGGGCAGGAAGGGCCATTAAGTTGATGAGAAACTGGTTCATATTTGAATAATGGACCTTCTTTTATTGAGATTGATACAGAAGACTGGTTGAATTTCACACCAGTTGAAAATTTTGTAAAGTTTATAGGTTTAGAAATAGGTTTTGGTTTCGAGACAGGAATTTCTTCCTTTTTATGTGTATATGTGTTAACAATGTCTCTAGCATCAGAATTAGAGCGTGCTAAACTATCAATCAATTCAGAATCTACTCGTAGTTTTTTAGTTCTCTGTTCAGCTTCATCTCTTAAAACTTCATCTCTTTTATACTGAGTATGCATCTTTTCTTCTTCAATTAATTCATCTAAGGCTTGTTCTTCACGCTTAGACTTCATTCTATTCCTCATAATAATTTCTTTGTTTTCTCTTTTATATTGATCAATACGTTCTTTAGTTTCAATTACATTAATATTCCTAACCAGATTGTATATAATATCTTCAATTTCTATTAAATATTCATTATAATCATCTAAAGATTCAAAATCATCTTCAGTTTTGTTGAAATCTTGTAATATTTTTTTTCGTGTTTCTACTTCCACATCAAYTGAAGCATCTTCAAACTGTTGAAGTTTAAAACCGTTACGTCGTAGAGGAATGAGACATTTAGGGCACGGACCAGAACCTGAAAAATTAAAAATGTTTGTTATAAGTAATTTGTATGTTTAAATAAATAAAAATATATGACTATAAAGAACTATTACATGTAGCATGAATTATTAGTTTGAAATTATTAATAAAATTGATTTTAAAATAGGAATAAGGGTCAGTAATTACTTGKGCAAATTATAAAAGTTAGATATTTTAATTTGATTTGGAAATATTTTTCTGCGAGTTGAATTATGCCACCCAATTATAACAAGATAATAATATTTATAAAGAAGGTTCAGAATATACACAAACAAACTATTTAAGGTCAAAACATAGTAATTATTTTTAGATAAAGTTTTTAAAAATTTAAATATTTTTGACTTTTATGTGCGGGTACAAGCAAATTTCATAAATATAATTAATTTTAAAAAAATTGTAAAACATATTGGTAATGCAGTAAATATTATAAAAAATTGTATGTGACTGTG